CTCCTTCCTTGGTATACTGCAAATTCCAAATCGGTGTTCCACCCAAATATATCAGGTCACATCATTACCCTTCAGACGGAGTAGGAAGAAGTTACTTTTCATAACCATACTTAGGTAGTATCCTAAAACAAGCTATCCTTGTTTTAACAAAATATTTAAATGCGTCTGCAGGAACAAGGTCAATGCAGGCAGCTTAAGAAGAGAGACTGTGAACTGTAGGAAAAAAATTACCTCTTAGTTTTGAAAGGAGATTGATATTCAGAAAATACAGAAATTTACTCATCTGTATAAGGTTGAGTTATTCATCAACTGACAAAATAGATCATCACATCAATGAATATTAAGGGTTTTCAAAAGAATTTTAAATATCATCTACCTAATAAAATTGTGCTGAAAACATCAAATAATAAGGAAAATGCACATCAGAACAGTCCTAAGGATTCTCCTAACGACTAGAAAATTGACAAAGATGATAAAAGATGAGCATAGTCAGGTTGGAGGGAGACATTGAAAAGATGGGAACATGAATTCACTAGTGATAGTGCTACAATTTGGTTCAACCAATTATATTATATTATATTTATTACTATTATATTATTCAGGTGGTTATTTAATATTAATATTATTTAATGATTAATATTAAATATATTTATATTTAATTTCATTCATTATATTATTATATATTATTTATTATATTTTACTATATTATAAAAGTCACTACATTGTTCATATCTTCATTAGATATAATGTGACTATGAGAATCTTCAAATACAGCATTCCTCTGTTGTTGTTAACCTTTTGGATAGTTCTTTCAGGGTACATACACAGCAATGGAAATATTGGATGAAAAGATATGCTTGGTTTTGGAACTTTTACTGGATACTGGAAGATTATTCTCCAAAAGAATTCTAGGAGTTTGCAATTCCACCATAAATGGACAACGGCATCTTTTCCCCACAACCCTATCAGTACTGGATTTCATTGCTTTAATCGTTATTAACTAATTAATTAATTTTTACTCATCAGTGAGTAGAAGTTCATGTCTCACAGCTGTTTCAGTTTTCATCCTTTTGCTTATAAATGGATCTCAGTATTCCACTTTCCCCTCTCCCATTTATATTTTTTGTAGCTAAACTCCTGAAAAGGCTCACTGCAATAGATTACTCAACTTTCTCTCTTCTTACTCTTAGCCTCTTACAATCCAGTTTCCCAAATTATTCCACTGAAACTGCTCTCTCCGAAGTTATTAATGATCTTAGTTGTCAGATTGAATGTCCTTTTCTTAGTCCTCAATGTCCTTGACCTTTCTGATGCCTTTGACACTGCTGATCACTCCCTCCTCCTTGACATTCTCTTTTCTTAAATTCTTTTTTGGGGGTGGAGAGAGTTCTTCTGGTTCTCCTACCTATTTCACTGCTACTTCTCTTTCTCCTTTGCTGGATCCTTCTCTAGATCACTCCCTTCACCCATAGGCATCCCTCAGGGTTCTGTCCTGGGTCCTCTTCTCCTTCTATACCATTTCATTTGGTGATGTCATCAACTTCCCTGAATTTCATTATCACTTCTATGCTGGTGATTCTCAAATTTACCCATCCTTCTCCAACCTCTTAGCTAATCTCTAATCTCCTATCTCCAACTGTTTTTCAGACATCTTAAACTAGATGTCCAACAGACACCACAAACAAACATGTTCAAAACAGAATTCAATATCTTTCTTCCTAAATCTTCCCCCTTGCTATCTTTCCTAATACTGTAGAGGATGACACCTTCCTTTCAGTCTCTCAGAATCACAATGTAGGAGTCCTCCTGGACCCACTATTTCTCATCCCTCATGTCCAATCTGTTGCTAAGGTCTGTTGATTTCATCTTTGTAACACCTCTCAAATACACACCCTTCACACCTCTGACACTGCCACCACTGTGATGCAGGCCCTTGTCACCTCATGCTTGTACTATTGCAATAGCCTGCTGGTGAGTGGCTTGCCTCAAGTCTAGCCCCCTCCATTTCATTTTCCATTCAGCCACAAAAGGGATTTTCTTAAAGCTCAGGTTCTACTCAATGGACTCTAGTGGCTGTTTAGCACATTCAGAATCAATACAAAGTGCTCTATTGGATATTTAAAGGCATTCAAAATGTATTGCTTTTCCTCTTCCACCTTTCCAGTCTTCTTCCACCTTTCCAGTCTTCTTACACCATCCTCCTTGTCACATTTTCTTTCACCTGGTAACACTGGCCTTCCACAAACAAGACACTCCATCTCTCAGCTTGGAGAATTTTCTCTGTGCCCCCTGCCTGGAGTGCTTTCTATCCTCATCTCAGCCTACCGGCTTCTCTGGCTTCCTCTAAGTCCCAACTAAAATCTCATCTTCTGCAGGAAGCCTTTCCCAACCCCCTTAATTCTAGTGGCTTCTCTCTTCTAATTATTTCCTATTTAGCCTGTACATAGCTTGTTTGTACACACATGCATGCATATGTATGTATATATGTGTGCATGCACATACAAATATATACTTGCTTGAATCCCTGTGAAACCCTTGAGGGCAGGGATTGTCTTTTACTTCTTTTTATCTCCCCAATACTTAGCACTGTGCATGGGACATAGTAGGAGCTTAATAAACGTTAGTGACTGATTTTTGGGAACAGTTTGTGTTTCCTTCTTTGAAAATTTATCTTCTCATAACATATGCCTACCCATTTTGGGCTGGGAATTAATTACCACTGCAATTTTTCAATCATTCCTTACATATGTTGTAAGACAAAATTTCCAGATTTTAGCTGGGAGTAGGGAGAGAATATTGTTGATGAAATGGGAACCAGCAACCTTGCCTTCCCCACTAGGGAAATCCCTATCAGCAAGCTGTATTACTCAGTTCTCGTGGGTGATAGGTCTAGGTAGCATGTATAAGTATTGAACTGATATATAGGCCCTAATTGGGAACTTTCATCCAGCGTCTTTCTGTATCAGAGATGGGATGTACACGTGGAGGAGCGGGCAGTGGTCTGAGAAATAAACTTATGCTCGAAGTTGGCTGAGTAGGAAGCTTCTAGTGAAGAAGTAGCTGCCCGGATTGGCGTGGAGAGGTGGAAGTGAGAAACGCCAGACGGTTTGTGTGAGCGGCAATGCAGGCGCAGGGTCCAGGGTGAACTTAGAATCCCAAACAGTACTATAATCTAGTAAATATCACCAAAACCTGAAACCGCGCGACAAATTTCAGGTGTGAAGAACTAAAAAACTGCTTTCGAGGAAGTTTCCGTAGTGTAGTGGTTATCACGTTCGCCTCACACGCGAAAGGTCCCCGGTTCGAAACCGGGCGGAAACACGGTTCTTGTGTTCTTTATTTTGCCCAGATCACGTTACCCTTCAGACACACTTCTCGGAAATCAATTGGTAGGGAAAGCGCAACAAACCATACAGGAAATACTTCACGTCACCTGCCTGGTGATTAGCTCATGCTGTTTTGTGTAATACTTAGGCGTGTGTTACTGTGTTTTCCTTGAGTTCAGTAACTCCCAGGACACGCACACCGGAGTTCTCGAGACGTCGTAGAGTGAGAAGTAGTGGGTGTGCACCCTCTTCAGCTATATGTGTCCTGGGGCTGTGGGAAGGCCAACAGGTCTGCTTCCACATTAATAGTCTTTCTTCCCTGCCAGACCTCGTAGTAGAGGGATGCACCGCCCTTCTTCGGGCTCAGGGACCCAGGAACGAAAACCCCTGAAGAGGACCATTCCTTTCTAGATGAGATGTTTCGGTTACCTAGTGGTGCATAGGAGGCTAAAGGGGGGGGGGGGAAGACACTGCTAGCACGAATTTCTCGCCCCTCCCTGACGCTTGGCCCAGGTGTGGTTATTGGTAGTAGCCGCCGACCAAAGCTCCTGGAAGATGCAGAGACAAAGCGGAGACAGTGGTTTTTCATGGTATTTACGGTGGAAATATGTCCCTGGTCTCACCAGGAGCGATTTGGTCACAGGTAGCAGCGCAATCTTGCAACACACTGAAAAAGAGGGAGGAAGTGAAGGGAGGGAGTGAATGAGGAAGGAAAGAAGCTATATTGCCCAAACGGAACTGTCAGTTGTCTGGGTGGGCCCTTAATAAAGGTTTGTTGAACAGACTGAGACCCATCAGGTCCAAAGAAAATAGGGTAAAACCAATAAAAGACTCCGCCCAACGTGGGGCTCGAACCCACGACCCTGAGATTAAGAGTCTCATGCTCTACCGACTGAGCTAGCCGGGCGACCGTGTGGACTTTTTCTTTCCCCTTCCCTCCACCTTAACTGTATTCCTGGAATACAGTCTCTCTTAGATTGTCCTTAGAATCTTTTTGTTCTTTCTAAGGTCAGCTCAGGTGCCAAGTCCTCTGTGAAGTCCCTCAAATCGTCTCTCAGTCTCTCTCTCTCTCTCTCTCTCTCTCTCTCTCTCTCTCTCTCTCTCTCTCTCTCTGTCTGTCTTTGTCTCTCTGTGTCTTCTCTTTCTCTCCTGTATGTGTGTCTCTGTCTCTCTGTCTGTCTTCTCTCCTGTCTGTATGTGTCTCTGTCCTTGTCTGTCTCTCTCTGTCTCTCTCTCCTCCCGACCTCAGCGACAGTCTGAGAAAATGATTTAGTGTTGAGTGACTATTTTGTTTCTTCAAAGAAAACGTGGAAGAAAAAACTCACAACTGTGCCCAACGTGGGGCTCGAACTCACGAGCCTATTAAGAGTCTCGTGCTCTACCGACTGAATTAGCTGAGCAAAAGACCTTATAGCTGTTTTTTTCTGGTGTCCCAGAAGAAATAATAATGTCAACCTGAAGGAAAATTAATGCTGGATTGCCAGGAAACTAAGGCTCTGGAAATGACTTGCCCAAAGTCACAAAGGTAGTGAGCACCAAAGTCAGGATGTGAAATCATGGTCACTGGCTTTAAACCCAGCTTACTATTTTTATAAAAATGCAAACAGTTTAATTGAAACTGCCCTTAAAGATGAAGATAATTACTCAGATGAGCTCTATTTCTGTCGTTTCCAGGCTCAGTAATGCTCACCATTGGAGTTTTTTCTCTTCAGCTACTGACCCATGGCAGTTGAAAAGGTAAGTAGGAGAGACTGTCACATTGGACCGTAACAGGAATCCAGAAAGCTAGCACGTAGAGAAAATGATTATGGTAGAAATGATACGTAAATGGTTCCAGTGAGAACCATTGGCTTTCAAGTTCTGGGGGTTAGCCATTGAAACGGGACTATCTTAAGAAATGTTATCTTTAAGCAGACACTTGATGCCACTTGCATTGATGCTCACCTTCTCTCTCCCTTCCATCTTTCCCTTTTTTTACTCACAGTCAAGTGTCCATTAGCTTCTTCGAAATGAAATCCTGTCTCCATTCCTCCTCTCCCCTCAAAATAGAATCATCTCAGTCTTAGGAAACTGACTGTTCTCTGTTGACAGAGGAAAATATCCACTTTTTTTGGGGGGGAGGAGTGGAGTGGGAAATGAAATAAACAGAGTGGGAAACTGACAAATATCCTGCAAATCAAGAGAAGATGTCTTCTTCCAATACTTTCTCAACTGCACCTTCCCAAATGTACTCTTTCCATTCCTCCCTTACTCTGGCTTCACTTGCTCCCCTCCCCCCAGCTCTGGTTAAGGCAGAACCTGAGTCTCAAAGGACCCAATTGAGAAAGAGGCTTCTATTGAATCCCATGATTCTCTGGAAAGACCCTAGGTGGAGAAGGAAGCAGGCCATCATAAGGGAAAGAAGAAAAACCACCTGAGGTCAATGGTAAAGACCTTGGGAGATTTTGACAGATTTATTTTTGTTTTGTTTTGTTTTGTGAAATCTTGCTCATCCCCAAAAAGCAAGGAAAATGCTTTGGGGGACATCTGATGGGGATAACAGCTGCCAAAGAGCTGGTATCTCCAGGTTGTAAAGAGTAGAATCTATGTGATGGGCATGTGTATTGCAAAGCTGTGTGGTTCTGAGCATAATGAACAAGCTAAGTGTTCTGCCACTGGCTTTTTCCAGTCTTATTTGGTATTTCTTTCCTTCCCTTATCCTATAATCCCAGTCTTTCTCAGAACTCTTTCAGTACCAAGAGAACCAAAGGGCAGAATATTTTGGCGTGACCATGAGGAAACTTTCCTTGTAGCTGAGGACTACTCTGCGATAGATTGCAGTCTTGGGAAACAGGAGGGACTAGGTAAAGCTAAGTCTGGTTTTTCTACTTCACTACAAATGTCATAACCACTATGCTACCAAACCTAAGCACAAAAAAGCAGCAGAGATAGAAGCCTCATCCTTCAAATATGAAAACTGCTGTCCTGTTTCACATCATGTTCTTGGAGCAGGCCAATGAATATCTATCTGTCATCGATCATATTATATATACACACATATATGCACATACATACACATATATGCATACACATGCACATATTTAATTTTTTTCTCAGGGTACTCCCAGCTTAAACTGGTCTGCATTTACAGGTACTTCCCCCTCAGAACCAAAAAACCAATCTCTGTAGGAAGTCCCATTCTTCAGACTCCTTTCCAGCTACATCTCAATACTTGGACAACAAGTGGCCCTTTTTTTCCTCCCTCTCACTCCTCCTTGAAGTACTGAGTTAAAGAGGAGCCTACCTGATCTGGCAGAGAAGTTTTGCACTATCATCATTTTAAGAACATAGCTCTAGAAATAACCCTAAAACCAGAGACAGCAGCTACTCTTTGGATGTCCAAGCCGGTAGTGTTAGAGCAAGTGGTACAATAGCTCAGGGTGCTTTGGTGAAATCTTTCAAATAGTGATTGATAATTTGGAAACAACACAGTATGAGCATTAATATAAAACATTTTCCCCATAAACTTGGGGGGTATACTTTCCCACAAAAGCACACATCATTAGGAAGAATGTGTACACATGTAGGGCACTGTAGCATTCATAGAGCTACACAAATAGGAGACACATGTGACCTAGGTAACTAATGACTGATTCTGCAGCACTCCAATGTCCTTCTCTTCTGCTTTCTTCATGTTTCTCCCTTTTTGGTGTGATATCAAGTCACTCAGGTGGGCTTCTTGGATCTCCTCCTCTCTGTGGATGTACTTAATTTGAATTGAGGCTGACACTCTTTTTTGGGGGGTTTGTTTTTTGTTTTGTTTTTGCTAGGCAATGCAGTTAAGTGACTTGCCCAGGGTCACACAGCCAGTAAGTGTTATGTGTCTTAATCTGGATTTGAACTCAGGTCCTCCTGAATCCAGTGTCGGTGCTCTATCCACTGCTCCACTAGCTGCCCCGAAGCTACCACTCTTTCTCAATCCTTCTCATTTACTCCCTTGACTTCATTCTATTGGATGCTGTCATGGGAGCATTGAGGAGAAATATTTCCTCTCCCCTTCTCCCAACTGCTCCTACGAACTGGCTCCTAGCAGCTGTATTAACATCTCAGAGAATGTTTCTAGCTGGCTTTTAAAGGCCATTAGGTTGATCCTTTAGCCAGCTCGCAGTTAGTTACACTATAATTTCATCAAATTGTTGGAGAAACTTCCTATCTCCTTAACAAGAAAGTGTAAATGCTTCTTTATACTTTCTTTACAAATCACAAATAGATAACTTGCAGTTTCACATCTGTGATTGGATCTATATCTATCAGGATTCCATCTCTTCAATTACACTAGGCTGTTTTTTCCCTAAAATGCAATGAAGCTATCCTCAAGACTTCATTGGCTCAGGAGGCTAGGTCTCAAGCCATGTCTCCATTTGTGCAGCCTCCTGGTGACCCTGGGTGACACTTATGCACCTTTCTGGAGCAGGTTAATGAATCTCTTAAAAGCATATAAGAGGCTTAAACTTGTGGAGTCAGGACCCTTCAGCCTTGAAAGTTGTTCCAAAGACATGAGTCACATTATATCTGGTCCAGAATACCTGCGTGGAGACAAGGTAGGCTGCATCGACCCAAGCAAAGTCTTGTATTCTTGTTGAATACTCTTCCTGTACTAAAGCAAAGTTACCCTCCTATTGTAATTTTAGAGGTCAATTAGCATCTAATATCTTTGAACATACACCAATAATCTTCCTTAATAACCCTAAATGGGGGCAAGATCTCTGTCCAAAGTCTCTATCTGACTTAAGGTTAGAAAGTTCATAGAACTCCTAGTTAATTCTTTAAGGCAGGGGTGAGGAAACTTCAGGCTCAGTGCCACATGTGGCCCTTTAGGTCCTCAAGCGCAGCCCTTTGACTGAATCCAAACATCACAGAATGATTTGCCCACTTGGGATTCCAGGTCCCAGTCCCAGGGTGAAGAAAAGGAGGAGCACTAGTATACTAGAACATGAAGCCACAGGAGTACAGGGGCCCTGGTCACAGTTCTGGAGAACATTGCTTGTGGTCATTCACAGGCAAGAGTGCAGGCCAGGAGAGGAGTGACCACACCTCTCCTTAGATTATAACGCCTTGGAAGAACTGAAAACTTACTCATTCCTAGAACTGGTTCTGAGAACAGCAGTACAAAAAACCTGAAGCTTGGGACAATGACCAGTCCACCCTAGGATTAGAGCCCAACTTTAACACAAAATAAAAAATTTTAGGCTTGGAAATAGGCTTGGAAAATGAGCAAACAACAACAACAAAGAATCTGACTATAGAAAGTTACTATGGTGACAAGGAAGATCAAAACACAAACTCAGAAGACAACAAAGTAAAAACAGTCACATCCAAAGCCTCAAAGAAAAATGTGAATTTGTCTCAAACCAAAAAAGAAATCCTAGAAGAGCTCAAAAAGGATTTTAAAACTCAAATAAGAGAGGTAGAGAAAATATGGGGAAAGAAATGAGAGTGATGCAAGAAAATCATGAAAAAAGCATCAACAACTTGGTAAAGGAGGCCAAAAAAAAAACCTACTGAAGAAAATAACACCTTAAAAACCAGAATAGGCCAAATGGTAAAAGAGATGATGAATTCACTCAAGAGAGAATGCTTTAAAAAGCAGAATTGGCCAGATGGAAAAAGCTGTACAAAAATTCACTGAAGAGAATTCATAAAAAAGCAGAATTGACCAAATGGGGGGGGGAAGGTACAAAAATGCACTGAAGAAAAGAACTCCTTAAAAAGCAGAATTGAAGGGGCAGCTAGGTGGTGCAGTGGATAGAGCATCAGCCCTGTAGTCAAGAGAACCTGAGTTCAAATCTGGTCTCAGACATATAACACTTACTAGTTGTGTGACTCTGGGCAAGTCACTTAACCCCAAATGCCTTACCAAAAAAAAAAAAAAAAGCAGAATTGGCCAAATGGAAAAGGAGGTACAAAAGGTCACTGAAGAAAATAATTCCTTAAAAATTAAAATTGAGCAAGTGGAAGTTAATGACTCCATGAGAAATCAAGAAACAATAAGACAAAATCAAAAGGATGAAAAATAGAAGAAAATGTGAAATATCTCATTGGAAAAACGATTGACTTAGAAAACAGATCAAGAAGAGAAAACTTAACTGTTGGACTACCTGAAATCCTTTATCAGAGAGAGTATAGACATCATATTTTAAGAAATTATCAAAGAGAACTGTCCTAATATCTTAGATCCAAATGGTAAAATAGAAATCAAAATAAACAAATGATCTCCTGAAAGAGACCTCCAAATGAAAACTCCCAGGAATATTATAGCCAAATTCCAGAGCTCACAGCAAGGAGAAAATATTGCAAGCAACCAGAAAGAAACAATTCAAATATTATGGAGCTGCAGTGAGGATCACACAAGATTTAGCAGTTTCTGCACTAAAGGATCAGGGCAACTACATGGCACAGTGAATAAGCAGCCAGATGGCATTCCTGGAGTCAGGAGGACCTGAGTTCAAATCCAGACACTTACTAGTTGTGTGACCCTGGGCAAGTCACTTAACTCTGTTTGCCTTAGTTTCTTTATCTGTAAAATGAGCTGGAGAAGGAAATGATGAACCACTCCAGTATCTCTGCCAAGAAAACCCCAAATGGGGTCCCAAAGAGTCTAAAATGACTAAATAACAATACATTCAGAATTGGAGGGCTTGGAATATGATATTCTGGATGGCAAAGGAGCTAGGACTTATAGTCAAGAATCATTTATCCAGCAAAACTGAATATAAAGATGGATATTTAATGAAATAGAGGACTTTCAAGCATTTCTGATGAAAAGAGCAGAGCTGAATAGAAAATTTGACTTTAAAATACAAGACTCAAGAGAAGCATAAAAAGGTAAATAGTAAAGAGAAATCATAAGGTTTTCAACTGTTTACATTCTTACGTGGGAAGACAATACTTAAAACTCCTAAGAACTTTATCATTATTAGGACAGTTAGAAGAAGTATATGCAGACAGAGGTCATGAACGTGCATGTACTGTGAAAGGATGATATAAAAAAATAAAATTAAGGGGTGAGAAAGGCAGATCCACTGGGAGAAGGAAAGAGTGGTAAAGAGGTGAGAAAGAGTTTTTTTTTTTACAGTGGAAGAGAAGTTGGGAGGGCTGGTGGGCAATGCTTGAACCTTACTCTCATGGGAATTGGCTCACAGAAGAAATAACATCTACACTCAGTTGTGTAGGGAAGTCTATTTCACCACATGGGGAAGTAGGAGGGGAAAGGGTTGATAGAAGCAAGGGTGGGCTGATAGAAGGGAGGGAGGATTGGGGGAAGCAGTGGTCACAAGCAAAACACTTTTGAGGAGGACTGGATAAAAAGGAGAGAGAGAGACAGAGAGAGAGAGAGAGAGAGAGAGAGAGAGAGACAGAGAGAGAGAGAGAGAGAGAGAGAGAGAGAGAGAGAGAGAGAGAGAGAGAGAGAGAGAGAGAGGAAAGGGGAGGGAGAGAGGGAGGGAGAGAGAAACAGGAAAAATAGGATGGAGGGAAATACACAGTAATCACAAGTGTGGAAAAAATTTTACAGCAAGTTTCTCTGATAGAGACCTCATTTCTCAAATATACAAAGAACGGAGTCTAATTTATAAGAATGTAAGTCATTGCACAAGTGATAAGTAATCAAAGGAAATGGACAGGTAGTGTTCAGATGAAGAAATCAAAGTTTTTATAGTCACATAAAAATGCTCTAAATTACTACTGATCAGAGAAATGCAAATTAAAACAACTCTGAGGTACAACTTCACACCTATCAGATTGGTTACTATGACAGAAAGGGAAAAAGACAAATGTTGGAGATGTGAGAAACTGGGACACTAAAGCATTCTTAATGGAGTTGTGAACTGATTCTAGAGAGCAATTTGGAACTATGCTCACAGGGCTCTCAAACTGTGCATACCCTTTGACCCAGTAATACCATTACTAGGTCTGTATCCCATAGCAATTAAAGAAAAAGAACCCAAAAAAGGACCTATATTTACAGAAATATGATAGCAGCTCTTTTTGTGGTGGCAGTGAATTGGAAATTGAGGGGATGCCCATTGATTGGGAAATGGCTGAATAAACTATGGTATATAATTGTAATAGAATACTATTATGCTATAAGAAAAGATGAACAGGATGCATTCAGAAAAACCTGGACTTACATGAGCTAATGCAAAGTCAAATGAGCAGAAGTAGGAGAAGAGTGTACACAGTAATAGCAATGTTGTATGATGTTAGCTGTGAATGACTTAGCTATTCTCAGCAATACAACGATCCAAGACAATTCTGAAGGACTTATGATGAAAAATGCTATCCACCTCCAGAGAAAGAATTGTTGGAGTCTGCATGCAGATTTAAGAAAGGGTTTTTTTTTGTAACTATCTTTATTTTTCCTAGTAGTAGTATTGCTGGGTCAAAGGATATAGGCAGTTTATTAACTCTTTGGGCATAATTCCAGATTGGCTCTCCAGAATGGTTAGATCAGTTCACAATTCTCCCAACAGTGAATTAGTGTCCCAGTTTTTGCACATTCTCTCTAACATTTTTCACTTTCCCCTTCAATCACTACACTGATAGGTGTAAAATGCTCTTTCAAGGTTGTTTTAACTTGCATTTCTCTAACCAATAATGATTTAGAGCACTTTTTCATATAAAGATAAATTGTTTTGATTTCGTCATGGGGAAACTCCTTGTTCATATCCTTTGACCATTTATCCTGTTTTTCTTGGTTTTATTTTTTGCCTGCATTTTCTTTCACAACACGTCTAATATGAAAATAACTTTTTGTATGACTGCACATATATAATCTATCTCAAATTGTTTACCTTCTCAGTGATGGAAGGAGGGGAGTAAGGGAATGAAAGCATTTGGAACTCAAAATTTTAAAAAATGAATGTTAAAAAATGTTTTTTACATGTAATTGGGGGGAAAACTATTAAAATTAGAAAGCAAGGACTATTTTTTTAACCTTTCTTTGTTTCCTCAGTGTTTAGTAGAGTGGCTGGCACATAAAATTTACTGAATGATTGTTGTCCTTTGTGTTCACAGAGGATCAAAATGACATCACTACGTTGGGGTCAAGGTACAGTGCCTCTGAATGCAAGTGACCAATGAAAGCTCAGAAGAATCTACCACAGGAGGGGTACAAATAGTCCATATAAACATTTCAAGTGGAAATATCTCTAAATTTGCTCATCTCATGTTTCTTTTTATTTACTGCAATTCTGCTTTGCTCATAGAGCAGAGCACCTTTTTTCAATGTGGGTATGTCATGGTGGGCAGTCCTGTGTCTCCCATGTTTCCCAATCAATTCCAGAATTCTTTGGAGAGACCTTGAGAATGTTCTTGTATTCTTTCTTCTGACCTCTATGTGAGCACTTGCCTTGTGTGAGTTCTCTGTAAATCAGTTGTTGAGGAAAAGGTAGATTTGGCATTTGAACAAAGTTGCCAGCCCACTGGAGTTGTACTCTCTACAGTGGAGTCTGAATGTTTGGCACTTCAGCTCCAGAAAGGACCTCAGTGTCTTTTACATGCTGGCATTACATGCTGATGTGTTGATCAGTTATAATGATTTTTTTCCTCTTTTTATCTTTAAAAATGCTCTTCATTATATGCTGACTTTCTCAGAAGGGCTGGGGAAGAGATGCCAGGGGAAAACGTGGTGATGTAAAAATACAAAAGACATCAATAAAAACTTATTGGGAAAAAATCCTGTCAATAATAAGTATAGGGCCAACTACAGATTCTTGAGGAACTCCAATGGAGACCTTCCAAGTCAAAATGGAACCATTAGTGACTACTCTTTGGAATCAGCTATTCAACCAATTTTGAATCCCTCTAGTAGCAGTTCTTAACCTTTTTAATTATTATTATTATGGACACCTTTGACAATCTAGCAGTATATAGGTCTGTCTCAGAATAATGTTTTTAAAGATGTAAAATAAAATACATAGGATTGCAAAGGAAACAAATTATATGGAAATGCAATTACCAAAGGATTCTTCCTATCCAAGTTCACAGACTCCCTGAAATCTACCTACAGATGCAGGTTAAGAACCCCTAACTTATTTGCTCCTCCTCTGTACACCTTCTCCACAAGATTAGGAGAAGCTCTATTAAATGTTTTCTGAAAATGTAGTTAAACTCTATCTACACTTCCCTTGGTTTATCACTTTAGTAACCTTGTCAAAAAGGGAACTAATGTTAGCCTTGCATAACTAGACAGTTAGGTGGCACTTAACCTGGAATTGGGAACACCTGAGTTTAAACCCAGCCTCAGATACTTAATAACTTACTAGTTCATTTCCAAAAACTGCTTTTCTTTTCTGCATATCTTACCACTGATGTGCAGCAGTAATGACAATATCAACGCATTAGCAAATTCTTGGTAACTGAAATAAAAAACATCTCTTTTCTCCTGAGTAATTCATGTTATGAATAAAGGACCTGGTTTATGAATGAGGCTGCAGTGGGACCCCATGCAAAGTAGCAGTAACTCAGTCTCATGAAATGAACAAATGAAGGACCATCTAACTGGTACAGCCCTTTCTGTCTTTGTCCTTTTTTTTTGTATTACTCTCTATTGATACTCAGGGCCACTTGAAAAATAGACCACAGGCCCTGGAATAGGATTGGATTTTAAAGGTCATCTAACCCAGTGGTATCAAACTCAAATACCAATGGAGGCCACTGAAGCATAGATAAGGATCCCTGTGAGCTGCATACCATCAGCTTTAAAATGCGATGTTATCTGTATTTTATTGTATTTTTATTTATTTTGTTAAATATTTCCCAATTTATATTTTAAGTTGATTTGAACTACACTTGGGAGTTGACAGAAATTATTATTAATAACCAATGATTTGGGGAGATTCACATTTCCCCCTTTTATTGTTATTTCAAGACTTCAATTTCTCCTCCTCTATCGAGACCCCATCCAGGTGAGGAAGCCATTATGCTCTACTCAGGTTTGGATGGGGATAAATTCTTTGAACAAATTATTCAAGTGGGGTGTGTGTGTGTGTGTGTGTGTGTGTGTGTGTGTGTGTGTGTGTGTGACTTAGGACTAAAGGACATAATAAAAGTTCAGGTCTAGCACCTCATTGTAATATTCATTCTCTTATTATTAACCAGTCAGAACTGATTGCCACCTGTGGGAACACCTCTTTTCCAATGGACATATGAGCCATGAGCCTGCTGTCACAATTGTCTTTGGTCCAAGAAAGACATGCCAAATGACCATCCCTTTATTAAAATTCTGGCATTATTAATAAAGTCATGTCTCTCAAACCATTTTAAACACCACAGAGTGGAGTAAGCATGGCAGACATGGCAGACATGTTTGACATGTGGCTAATCCATCCCCCTTCATTTTTTCCTTCTCCAAATGAGGAAAATGAGGCTTGTACAGCCTTGTCCAAGTTCATGAGCAAAAGAAGTAGGATTTAAGTACATATACTTGACATTAAAGCCAGTACTATTTTCCATCTGTGGTATAATGAGCTATCCAAAATCATACGGGTGATAGGAAGCAGAGTTGGGATATAACTGGAAGAAGTTCTTGTAGTGCTAATCAAGGTTAGGTCCTGGTGTAGTTATAAAGTAAGGAAGCTTGTCTTAGATGCTCCCTTCCATTTTCTTCTTTCCCTGATAGAATAAAATAGTAAAGTTTCAAATCTATGAAGAAATTTATTAGTGATTAATACACTAATAAAAATTAAAATGGTATTAAAGGAAAAATAAATTAATTCTACATGCCTTAATGCATAAAGTTTAAGTAAATTTACTGCTCCTCTACATTTATAAGCTCCTGGTTGGTAATCAAAACAAAACAGACTCTGTGCAAATTCTAGAATATACTGTAAGACAGCTGTAGCCACTAATCTTTTATATACCTATGACTGAAATTTGTTTATTCTTATAAAACTATTATTATTTGAATCTTGCAGATTTGAATCTGCCTTTATCTTGTCCTGGAAGTCCTTGAACTTATGAGATTCTGACTGTTATGATTTACCATTATCAAATGTAATTTTGATCTATTTTCTTTTTTTGTTAATGAATACTCTGTTCCTAAGTTGTAGCTTAACGTACATTTTAGAGTACAAGATAATTTGTAGGGCTTCTCATAAACACCTCCACAATAATAAATAAGATATAGACTCCTTGTGTCAAACTGGGACACTCTGTTGAGAGAGAAGGGGCCTGTTAAACAGTTGTCTTCCAAACAGCTGTTTGAATTTGTATTTTTTATTTTCTAACTTTATCTTCCAAAATCTTGTTTCTAATAGATTTGGCCACAAAACACAACACAGAGTAACTCCATTTATTTGCTTCGATACCATAAAGTAATCAATGCCCTTTGTCATGCCGTGTTACACCATTACAAAAAAAAAAGTTGGGAAAGGCGCAGGGATATAGCAATCATTTTTATCTGACTGAATTAACAGTATTATCTGTCCCAGGAGTGACTTCAACTGTGTTACATAGCATCGATTTCATTGTGGAATAAAAGTCTCTGTGTCTTATTAAAGGAAATTCTGAAAAAAGACAGTGGGGGAGAAACTTTTTTGCACCTTAAATACAGATCTTTTCTTGCTGTCTCCAAGACCTAAATCCCATAGGTGACTACTAAATAGCTGCTGGCATTCTAGCTCCCCACTCTGCTTTTCATTTTTATGATGTTCCTATCTTCAGGAGTCTTTAGGCAACTGGAGGAAAATCATTTCTAATCCAAGATCTCTTCTGTACCTATTATCTCTAATTCAGTTCCAAGGCTTTTTCTACCTGGTGGTGGGAGTCCTGTTTGTGGTGGACACATATATTACATATCATGCTACAGAAAAAATTTTACTGCCTGGTGAAGAAAAGCCAGAGTCTTGAATATTTCCCCAGTCCCAGAGAATAGGACATTTCTTAACCTGAGACAGGTCATATGCGACAGGAGTTGCCTCACCTACCTTAAGCAGGAATTCCATCATGCTCCAGGGACCCTCTCTGGCCACTTAGGATTCCATGTTCCTTTCACTTCCTTTCACTCCCTTCCCCCCTAGACCCCCAACACACAGCTTCCTAGACCCCTGAGTCAATTCTATCCTAGGCCAAATGCTTGTGGAGAGTAATAAACAACCTGAACATATTCCTCAATGATGAATATTCTTGCACCTTATCGTGACTTCTCCCTCCCAGTGATTCTGACCACCCAGCTCCTATTGTTTATGACTCTGTTTGTGGTCCCTCACTGACCAGTCCTTTAATCCCACCCCTCTCTACTCGATCTCCCCCCTTCCCCAACATTCTCCTCTAAAACTCTCTACCCCTTCCACGGTGATCTCCGGGAATGCATGCTCCTCAGGAGACAAGCTTTCATCTTAAACCTTTTCCTTTCTTGCTCTCTCCATCTTTTTCTGTCACTGAGATTTGGTTTGCTTCTAATGGCATAGCTTCTCTCTCTACTCTTTTAAATGCTTGCTGTACTTTCATTTATACTTTCCTACTCACTGGTCACATTAGGGAAGTTGGAATATCGCATTGCATAAACCATCTTATCTGATAAAATAACAGCTCATATTTATGTGGCATTTTTTTTTTGGTGGGGCTGGACCTGTTACAATATAAAATGCTTCATATACATTTTATTTTATCCTAGTTAAAGTCTTTGGTTTATATAGCACAAATATTATTTTCCCTGCATACAAATTAAAAAAAAAAGAAACAGGAAGGATCAGAAGGTTGCAGAATTCCTAGCCATTTAGGTACTGGGAATTCAAATCTATGTCTTCTTATTCTAAGTCCTATAAGTATTTTTTGAGAAAAGATTAAAAAAAATTCAACTCACATCAATATATAAAATAATGTCTTGAATAAAGAAGCTATGGAGAAATTGAGGGCAAGGCCCCCTGCTTGACACTTCATAGTAGAGCACATTATGAACTTGGAAGTCAAATGAGGAAAGAAGATCATTTATTATTGGAAAAGTGCAAAATTGAGAGTGTGAGGGAAAAGGAGGTTCTCTTTCTCTCTCTAGGGGTGTGTGTGTGTGTGTGTGTGTGTTATAAAAGTAGATACCCTTGTAGATCAGAAAGTAGAAAAAAATACTAACATTTTCCATAGCCCCTTTCTCATGAAAGGCTGTTTACAATATGCTAGTGGGGCTTGGATTCATCCCGGGCTGCCCTGACCACAGAGATTTCCTTCCCTCTCTCTGGGTCATTTTGCCCCAATCCAGAAGAACTCTAAAACAAAGCTGAAATATTGCTCATGTCTAGAGTTTTCACAAGAGGAATTAACAGGATCCCTATTAGGAAAGAGACTACTCTCAGTGTACAAAGTAGGTACAGGTATAGGACAGTGTCTTGGAGCCCAAATGCATCTGCTTATGAGGCAGTAATCCTGAGGGAAGAGGTACCAGGATGTCACGATGATCAATCCAAGCCCCTGTGATAGCACCTTGCAATGAACAAAAATAAGCAGGAGATATATCCCTGCTGTGTTTTTGTTCTTAAGTCTCTCCCTCAATACATGATATATGTAATACACACACACACTCACACACACACACACACACACACACACACACACACACACTACATATATTTAAACTGACTAAAGTTGCTTAAAGGGGAAGTTTGCTGAAATCTTCAGGATGTGGCCAAAGTAGCAGGATGTGTGAAAATTCAACCAAAAACAGAGTTCGCTGCTTGTCTGCCATACATCATTCTTGACCTATAGAATATTTATGAGTTTCTTGCCCCTAATTTCAACTATTATCCATTTAACTCATAATGTTTGTAACTCTTCACCCTGAAACCATTGCCATGATCTGCTTAACCCACAGGCAGCTATTTATTTCCATCATCAAAGAAGTGCTTCATAGCCAGAAAATGTGTGCACCTTAAATATTCTCTTAAATTTATAGATTAACACTTCTCATGAATAAAACCCTGAACATTTCACTTGTACTTAAGAGCCTATGTAGAAGGGGTTAAGAAAAGAAGGTGAGTGTTGAACAGTGGGCATGACAAGTTGGGCAATGGTTTCAGGGTGAAGAAGGGAAAGGAATAAGTAT